GTTCCACCGACACATGTTGGACTCCAACAATCTCAGTTATTGCTTCTATTTACAGAAAACAAAACATGCATTCACTCATCTCCCCATGAGTGCGGTACAGTGTTTCCTTCAAGTAAAGCACTTTTCTGTTTAACTGAAATATGCTATTAAAGATGCTACGTGTCAGTCAGTAGTTTTGATCTTTTAAAGGGGTCATATGATGCGATTTCAAGTTTTCCTTTCTCTTTGGAGTGTTACAAGCTGATTGTTTTTGAACATTAAAGCATGTCAACATATTCTGTTACACCAAATACACAAAATAATGATCTTTAAAAAAGCATCATATGACCCCTTTAAGCAACATGAAGCCAAATACAAGGCCATAAAGCCAATTTCTTAAGGAACATCCATTCTTTCACATTCATTTTTTTTGCTTCGAAGCTAAAACATTAAAGCTCTGAGAAATTAACATCTGATTATAATTCTTTTTATATGACATTTTATTTGTTTTATATATCTGTATCTGTATAATGTTGATCAAAAGTTGTGATTGGTATGATTTATTTAAAGGTGCAATAGGTGATTGTCTTCAGAAACATTTTTGGTTATGCTGGTTGAAAGTCTCTTCACATCCCGATAGCAATCATTAAGTTAAGTGATCTAAATGTATTTATCTGTATTTATCAATTTTGTGGAAAACGTAGGACCAAGAAATGTTCGTCCAATCAAAACGCTCGGTCCGAACGTTTTAATTGGCTTTCCTACCTGCCTGTCAACACATGTATTTGCATACATCTGCGCACCTGGTTCGCGCAGACAGGATACGCGAGGACTGGAATTGGGAACCGCTGATGTAGCCTATTGTAGTAATGTTGTCTCTGGTCTGTGAGCGTAAATACGTTCAGGGGGCATGGCTTTGGATGGCGATTGCAGGGAGGGTGGGATGTTCGCTTTCAGTGCTATCAGGCTAAAGTTAGCATTTTCCAAGATCTCCTACTGCACCTTTAAATGTTTTTGAAAAAATTCTAATGCTCATCAAGGCTGAAATTATATACAAAATGCAGTAAAACAGTAATATTTTAAAACTGTATTACAATTTTAAATGTTTTCTATTCATATATTTTTTAAAATGTAATTTCTTGCTGTGCTTTCCAGCAACCATTACTCCAGCCTTTAGAAATCATTCTGATATGCTTATAATATCATTCTATATTATTATTGTTAATGCTGAAAACAGTTGTGCTGCTTAATATTTTTGTGGGTACCGTGATACATTTTTTTTTCAGGTTTCTTTGCTAAATAGAAAGTTCAAAAGATAAAATTATATGTATAGATAAAAGGTGAATAAAAGTATACATTTCTTTCAAAAACAATCTGAGCCCTCCCTGAAGCCTCTGACATATGAGCGCACAATTATTATTTTTTTTTTGCCAATATAAGTCAATGGGAGTTTTCAGGTTGATAGTCCCCTTTTTTTAACCCCTTTTAAGAAAACCGTAAGACTAATCAGTTAGGTATGGCATACGCAGGTCAGAACAGTCTGGCGCAAAATTTTTCGTGATGGAAATGAAATCATAGATATATGTTTTGTTGGTCATGGCTCAAAGATATCCAATGATATAAGTCACTTGAGTATGTGACAAATGGTTCAAACGTTATGATACATAATAAAAGCTTGAGTGTTATGTCATGTGACTTTGAGGTTATGAGGTATGTGTGTATTTCTCTAGGTCCCTATGACAACAGAACTGTGTTTGAGACGCTGGACATCGGTTGGCAATTGCTCCGAATCTTCCCCAAAGAAATGCTGAAGAGAATTCCTCAGAGCACACTGGCCGAATTCTACCCGAGAGAGTCCGCTGCCCGTCACGGAACCTCCTAAGACCACTACACCTTCTGGAGGCCCAGGCTAAAGTTCACATGACCTGTCTCCCTCAGAAAACATCATCCCTTGTGTCCACCTTTACTCTGAAAAGTGGTGTTTAGAATTACAGGGCATAACTCTGGGATAATACACATTTAATATGCGTAAAATGGTTTCATAAACATGCGTGTCATTATCCCATGTATTATGACCACCTGAGATTATTCCATTGTCCCCCATTGTTGTGTTATACATGTTTGTGTGTACTTTATTGTGTGGATAGAATATGTAATCGTGATTTGCTTTTGTTTTGGAGATGCATACTGTCCTGTAGTTCATTTCTTTTCTTTTTTCTTTTTTTGAGTTATTTCACTATCTAAGGAGAATATTAAAAACATTTGAGCTCAAAGGGAAAAATTCAGTGCTTGCTTGCACATTTATGTGCTCTCGCATCCTCCATTCATCACTGCAACAAGCGCACAAATAATGCCATATTTTGAAACATTCCAATGTAAGTCATGAGAATATTTGATTTACAAATTATTTTCTGGCCCTTCCCTTGAAAATATTTGCTTTTATTTATTTTAATATACAAAAAACAAATCCAAATTAATGTTTGTGCACCAAACTTACGTTTGTGTTATGCTGACAGACAGGTAATTATAGGTGTTGATGAATGATCATATAGTGTGTATGCTTGTCAATGACAGCTGTTTTTTCTCTGTTAGAGGAGGATCTAGGATGTTTACAGCATCTGTGTTTTGCACAATTATTATTATTTTTTTGCCAATATAAGTCAATGGGAGTTTTCAGGTTGATAGTCCCCTTTTTTTAACCCCTTTTAAGAAAACCGTAAGACTAATCAGTTAGGTATGGCATACGCAGGTCAGAACAGTCTGGCGCAAAATTTTTCGTGATGGAAATGAAATCATAGATATATGTTTTGTTGGTCATGGCTCAAAGATATCCAATGATATAAGTCACTTGAGTATGTGACAAATGGTTCAAACGTTATGATACATAATAAAAGCTTGAGTGTTATGTCATGTGACTTTGAGGTTATGAGGTATGTGTGTATTTCTCTAGGTCCCTATGACAACAGAACTGTGTTTGAGACGCTGGACATCGGTTGGCAATTGCTCCGAATCTTCCCCAAAGAAATGCTGAAGAGAATTCCTCAGAGCACACTGGCCGAATTCTACCCGAGAGAGTCCGCTGCCCGTCACGGAACCTCCTAAGACCACTACACCTTCTGGAGGCCCGGGCTAAAGTTCACATGACCTGTCTCCCTCAGAAAACATCATCCCTTGTGTCCACCTTTACTCTGAAAAGTGGTGTTTAGAATTACAGGGCATAACTCTGGGATAATACACATTTAATATGCGTAAAATGGTTTCATAAACATGCGTGTCATTATCCCATGTATTATGACCACCAGAGATTATTCCATTGTCCCCCATTGTTGTGTTATACATGTTTGTGTGTACTTTATTGTGTGGATAGAATATGTAATCGTGATTTGCTTTTGTTTTGGAGATGCATACTGTCCTGTAGTTCATTTCTTTTCTTTTTTCTTTTTTTGAGTTATTTCACTATCTAAGGAGAATATTAAAAACATTTGAGCTCAAAGGGAAAAATTCAGTGCTTGCTTGCACATTTATGTGCTCTCGCATCCTCCATTCATCACTGCAACAAGCGCACAAATAATGCCATATTTTGAAACATTCCAATGTAAGTCATGAGAATATTTGATTTACAAATTATTTTCTGGCCCTTCCCTTGAAAATATTTGCTTTTATTTATTTTAATATACAAAAAACAAATCCAAATTAATGTTTGTGCACCAAACTTACGTTTGTGTTATGCTGACAGACAGGTAATTATAGGTGTTTATGAATGATCATATAGTGTGTATGCTTGTCAATGACAGCTGTTTTTTCTCTGTTAGAGGAGGATCTAGGATGTTTACAGCATCTGTGTTTTGAATTATGTGCTGAGATCTAAGACTGATTAAACATTCCCCTCTTACTCTGTATGTGTAAATACGTTTTACCTGTGTTGATTGTTGTTAAACCTGTCAAACCTCTCAGATTAATTAAATTATATTGTTATATTGTGATTGGCTGACTACTTCAGTTATTTGCCATAATAACAGTAATGTTAATTGAAGTGAATGAAAATGCCAGTGGATTGTTTTCTGTGCTGAGGGACTGTCCTTACAAAAATCTACCAAGATAACAGTTTCAACAAGAATATTATAGCTCCTATAGTTAGTGGGTTTTTCTTCAACTTCTGGCAATTTTATGCCCCAGGGGCTGATTTTATTAAAAGTAACAGATTTCATTTTGTTAAATTATTTTGCTTTAATGTTAGATTTCATTGTTTTACTTGTGTCTCAGACCTATACTGTTAAAAATAATAATTCTTTTTTTTTTTTTTTTTACCGTCTCTTTTTAGTGTGGCCTCATTTTATTAGGGTCCAGAAATCTTGCCCCTTTCAAAGATTTTTTTGAAAGTTAGTGAATTTGTTTAGGAAGATGTGATATAAGATGTGATGGGTAAAGAAGACAGGGAAAAATCAAGGTAAATATCAATTTTGAAATTGTCTTTATTATTATTGTTTGTGTGTCATGTCTAATCTAGCAATAATTTTGCGGAATTGAGCGGAAAGTGAAAATTATAGTTATTGTGTGTATTATATATAAAATGCTGGCTATTTTAAATGCAATTTTATTCTAAAAATATTTACAAGTCATTTCCACCACCATAATTTCCGCCACATAATGCTGTAAAGCATCACATTATTTAAGATGTGAAAATGACACTGGTAGAAATAGTCATGATTACCAAGAAAAAAAAGAAGTATTTAAATGAACTGAGAGTGTGTAAAACGATGTGATTTAAAAAACGTTTATTTTCTCAAAGTCCATTCTAGGTGATCTAGAACAGTCTATAGTTGAAAAACTACTGTAGTATCGTAAAGAGTGTAATTTGTACTCTTTATTTTTTTAAGCCATTTTTGCTAATACCATGTTACCACATTTTATTGTAGTAACTATATTCGAGGGAGAACTATGGTTTGCGTGGTACATTTTTACTTTAACGGAGCATGCTGATGACCGTAGGTGTGACCAGGTGTCATTTCCTGTGTCGCTCGCGCTATGCTTAACCGGAGTTTTGATTCCGTAACCACAGGAACTCACAATGGCGTTAACGGGAGAGCAGAAAGAAGTGAAAATGATTTCAGAACTGTCCAACCAAGGTAAGTGTGGCTGTGTCGAATGCATAAGGAGTGCTGGTGTGCTCTAACCAGTGCGCTTAATAGTGTATAGGTTCCTGAAACGGTAACAGTCAACACACAGGTTCTGTAATAATAGGCCTAACGTTACATGAAATAGTTTTTTTCCCCCTAGTTATAACACTCATCTTGATGACGACTTTATTTTAACCTTATTCCCAGAAAGAAAAAAACCCATAATAGTTATTGTACAAGGGAAACAAATAATATATTTACCAACCAACAAATTCTGAAGTGGAACAAATATTGTATTATAACATTCTCCGTACTTTGTAATCCCTTCTGCATGCAGAGGAAAATACTCCTTTACAAATACTCCATCAATCCTTTTGCTTTGAGAGGCTTGTTTGGACATGTACACACATTTTTGGTGAACACCCTGGCATTTCTTTTGTTTTCATGTAAAGATGAAACGTTTATTGCAGTCTGTCTTGACATCTATCTTTATTGCCCATTTAAATCTATTTTTCCCCAGCTAAGTGAGCACAATGTGTTTTAATCCTTGGATAACCAAATGAAACGAACTGATTTTTAATAGCCCGAGTGTTAGCAGGAACTAATTTATCTGCTGATCTGTAAAACTTAATAGAATTAGTGGGGAAAATTGTGGTTGATGAACCAAGAATAAATCCATATTTACTCTAATATAATGTGTATTAAAATTATATGGCATGTATTGTGATCATTATTTATATGACTTATATAGAACATTTGAGCATTAATATGATAGCTGCGTCTCGGTTATGACGTTTTATGATACCATCTCTGAAAGCTTTAGTCTTGTGACTATTGAAATCAAGACTGTCAAGTCTGAAATCACTCTGAAAGATGTAAGGCAAGATTTGTATGTTATCTTTTTGCTCAAAAGCACTTTTTTTTTTAAATGTCTGCTGTGGCCTTTTCCATGGTAGTCTGTGTCACCGTGACATTAATAACCCAGAGACCATGTGGTTTGTAAACCCTTTACAGATCATGTCTTCTGTTCTAAAATTAGATGCATATTCAGTAGAGCTGATGCTGATTCATACTACAGGCAGAATGTAGACAGTTATGAGTGGAACTGTTATCACCTTACCCAGCAAATGTATTTTTCATCCTGGAAGAGAATTTCCGCTATTTGTAATTCTATATTTTTGCAACATTAAAAATACTTCTGTTTAAATTAGCACTAGTTTCCATGAGCAGTCCTCATGCTGGACACGAGTTGTGGGTTGCAGTAGAAGTTTCCTGCTGAGTTGATCTCCTGTATAGTGTGTTGCATTAACTGACTGTGTAGTTCATGGGAAGTTGTGAGACATGTTTAACTGGCGTCCTTGTATTTCTGCAGTACTTCTCCAGTATGAAAGCCTCCAAAGAGAATACGAGAAAATCAAGAAGGAGGTAAGATGTTTGCTGTCATTCTGTCCTTTCTTTCAGCCCCCTTTTTGCCCTTGCACTTCTACAAAATCTGTGCATGGTCTTAAAGGGATAGTTCACCCAAAAATAAAAACAAATATTTTGAAAATCTTGATATCATACAGAAATATTATATTTTTCAGCAGTTTCTGTCCATACAGTTAAAGTCAGTGGTGTCAAAACTGCATTGGCTTTCATTGTATTCAAACAGAAAATTCTGTCATCATTTACTCACCTTCATGTTTACTGCCATTCAAAAGTTTGGGGATTTTTCGGTGTTTTTGAAAGAAGACTTTTATGTTCACAAAGAATGCATTTATTTAATCAAGATGGGGGGAAAAAAAGAGTAGATTAGAAGGATTTCTGAAGGATAATGTGACACTATATTCCGGGGTAATATAGTAGCTTCTGAAAATTCAGCTTTGCAATCACAGGAATAAATTACATTTGAAAATATATGAAATAGAAAATAGTTATACATTCTTGAAGGTGAGTAAATGATGACAGAATGTTTATTTTTGGGTGAACTATCCCTTTACAATTATATTTTGGGATTGTTTTGCTTTTAAAAAATTAAAATGAAAATAAATTATTATTTAAATAAATAATTTTAAATAAGTTTCAAATAAAAAAAACTGTTCTATCAGTGCATACTTTACTCAGTGCCACTGAACCAGCCATATATATATATATGATAGATTTTTATGAACAATTATTTCATTTTAATTCATATTTAATTTTGTTTCAGTGTAAAAAAATGCAAGAGGAGAGAGATGAGGCCTTACAGAAGCTGAAAGAATTTGAACAAGGTTGGGTTTTAAGATCTTAGATTCACTTAATGTCAATCAGACATCCTTCTGTGTAGTACATTAAAACAAAAGTGTATTGTAAATCCCATTGATTTATAAAGAATACTTCCACTTCTATTTCTGTGGGAAATACAGGCTATATGCTTTGCTCCTTTGGACTTTGATCCAAGGATATTGCAAGAACTATGACACCGTTCCATACAGACACACCTAGTTATTCCTAATCATCGTTTCCCTATTTTCCAACAAGACATGTTTTAATGTTATTCAAACTGCACTAAATCAAAGCAACTGGAGTAGTTCTCCAAATCCTGCTAAAATTCCTTGTGTGTGAACAAACTATGTATTTGAGTTTACATTCACTGTGCCCAAATGGGTATGTAATGTTTGGTAGGATGTTTTGATGAATACATTAGGTACCAAATTCAGATCTGAGATGTTCTTTTTGCAGACATGAGTGGAGCTATCTACTGCTTTTGCTCTCATAGTTTGAAGTTTGGGGTTGATATCAATCACACACACCTGAGTGAGGGGGAAAGCGACAGGTTTCAGTCTCAAATGGGTATTTCGGCAGTCCTTCCCTCACCAAATCGCCACACTTCACCTCTCTTGCGCTTCTATACAAATGTCACCTTCTTTTTCTTTGCCGGGGAAACGTGGAATTCAAACGTGAATTAAAAGGCGAAATTTTAAAAAGCACAACAAATGGCAGGTGGTGTTGGGGAGGAGGGGGAAAAAATCCATTACATTCTCATTTTAATTCATGAAATAGGTCATTATTTGATAGAGAAGAGCATGTGTTTTTGTGAATAATCTTAGCCTTTGCTCATGTTTCCTCCGCCATAAACACGTATTGTGTATGACTTGGAACGGCATGAGAAGAAAGAGATTTGAAGATGTAATGTTGATGGCGAGGCCAAAATTTACAATTAAAGCTGCCATGCCTGACGTCTGAAGTCCCCCCCTCGTCCCCCTCCTGCTCCGCAACTGCCTCACACTTAGCCCGGTTTATGTGTAGCAGCTATTACAATTAACCTGTCACTTAGTGCTAGTACTACCAGTGAGAGAGAGAGATGAAAGATGGGGTGGAGGGGGACCAACTGGCAGCTAAGTACTGTTTAATGAGTGACAGCGAAAGGCTTACAGCGGGAACTTGGATATCGCAGACACGGGCGTTCATCAAGTTTTAATTAGGTGTCATTGGGAGGCAGCCGCTGACCGTGATGGTGCTAATTCCTGTTTTTGCCTCTCAACCACAATGTGTAATTAGTTAAGAGGCTGTGAGCTGGTCCGTGGCCAGTCTCTGGTGATTACGGACACAAATAAGGTAAGAGCTCCAGGTGTTAAGAGCATCTGCCACTTCCATCTCACCATCTTCCGCCTCTTTGGAAGTCATCAGACTGACTGCGTTTTGAATTTGAATGTTGTAAATGTAGTCTCAAATCAGTTTGTTTTGAGAATCTTTTTGTGCATGACAGACTAATCTTAAGCATTTAGAAATATATCTCAAAGAGAGACTCTTTAGAGACACTGTGGATCTTTGAAGGTTCTTGGATTTGCTGGTGAATGCAAGGAAACACAGCAGATAATTTGATTAACCCAAACAATGAGCCTTGGCTTGACGGGCCTGCCCTGATCTCAGTCTCCCGTCCCTATAGGATCAGTATGAAGGGAAGCACTGAACTTATTCAAACAGATCTATAGAATAGACAACAGTTGTGTGAAGGCCAAGCTGGAGAGGTTATTGATTGGAAAAGAAAATCTGAAAGAAGGACAAATTAACCTTTTTCAGCATCAAGATGTTTGTGTATATGCTTAGTTTGGGGTCAGTTTTTAATGTTTTTGAAAGAAGTCTCTTTTGCTCTTCACAGCTGCATTTATTTGATCAGAAATACAGTAAAAATAGCTATTTTCTGTTTTGATATATATTAAAATTTTATTTATTTCTTTGATGGCAAAGCTCAAATTCAGCAGTCATTACTCCATGATCCTTCAGAAAGCATTCTAATATGCTCAGGAAACATCTGCTGCTTCTTCTGCTTAATATTATGATACATTTCACATTACCATACCGATATATTACCGTGATACATTTTTTTTCAGGATTCTCTGATGATTAGAAAGTATAAAATAAAAAAAACATTTATTCGAAATAGAAAACTTTTGTAACATTACAAAATGTCTTTACTGTCACTTTTGATCAATTTAATGCATTCCTTCTGAGCAAATGTATTAACTTCTTTTAAAAAGTAGTATGTGTGTTGAAATGGTTCAAATATGCAGATGATGTTGGAAGACTGTTCACTTAAATAGTCCAACAGAGTGATAGATCAATGGATACAAATATTCCATGTCCATATTAATCTTTAAATTACAATTATAAAATAAAACGAAATGTATTATAATTATATAAGAATTACAAAGATGTTTCAAGTAATTTTAGATGAAGGACAGCATGTCCCACTACAGAACACTTGTATGACTACAGTGACATCAACTATTCAAAACACATTTCAAATCCTTACTAGTGTTGTGTTAGCATGTGTTGTGTGTGTCCACTATAGTTTCCACTGTAGTTTCAGCTTCTTCATACACCAGATGTCCCTAGTCGACTTGCTCAAAAGGCGTCTGGAGAGCATGATAACTGATAAAGAGCTGTTCTAAGTTTCAGTGGTCTGGACAGAGTAATTGTATGATGTTGTAACCTTGTCTGTGAACGTCATGATGTACTGTGCTGACTGCTCCAGTGTGTGCATGACAGAAAATTAGTTGTGTGCTTGCCTGTAGTGACAACTGTAGTGTGTTTGTGTTGAAGAAAACATCAAAATATTTGACATATTGCTTGTCTTCAGTGTCACACAGGGTGATCGAGGAGGTGAACAACATTCAGGAGAGTCTAGAGATCGAGAAGACATGCAGAGAAAGTGTAGAAGCTTTGGTCTCAAAGGTGAGGTTTTACAATAAAGTTATGATTGGCTGTTCTGTTTTATTCTGTTTCATTTGATTCCCCTTATTTCTGTTCTGTTTCATTTGATTCTGTTGTGCTCTGGTTAATTTGATTCTCCTTTGTTCTGTTCTGATTCATTTGATTCTGTTCTGTTCTAATTTATTTAATTAGGGGCCAAGCCCCGAAGGGGCTGTAGCCACTATTTTATCTGTATGTTTTCTTATTATTATAATTGTTCTACCCGAATAGGAGTCAGTGGCAGCCCTGTGAAGGGAACATAGGAAAATGATGAAAATTGGCACACTTGTAGTGATGGTCATGAATCTGACCAACTTTGGGGTCTCTAGGACCAACTCTATAGTGCCACCACGAGTTCAAAAATTCACTTTTCAAATGTTTATAACTTTTGAACCCTCTAGAACAAGGAAACTTAGTACAGCTGATTACTCTCTTCATGCTGATCACATTCAATAGCTTACATTAAGACTCCACCCATTACAGTAGTGGCCATTTTGAAAAGTGCATTATTTCTTTTTTTCACTGCTACTCCTTCAAAATTTGTCCAATTCTTACGAAAATTGGCAGATATGATCTTTGGACCGAGCCGCATTGAAATGACTGAACAGAATTTCATGAACTAGTGGTGAAAAAAAAGTTATGATGTTGTGAACTTAACAAGGTCGACCCGAAATTGGTTCAGAGGCTGTATCTTGGACAAACTTTGATCAATCGAAACAAAAATTGGTATGCTTCATCAACACCATGATCTGAGGGTACATGCCAAATTACATAAATGACAACAGTGCCACCTATGGATCATGAGATACAAAAATGGCTATTTTGGCTAATAACTTATGAACTGTTAGTCAGAAAATCAAAAGAACCATTCTGTCCACCATTTTGAAATTTGTCATAAATTGCGATATATTTTAAACCATTTGACACACCTGCACAAAAATTGGTAGATTTCATTGACAGGATGTCCCGGAGTTATCTGAGAAGTTTGAACACAGCGCCACCTAGCATTCCAGAGATATAAAGATTTTTGCAAAAATGCTTATAAGTTTTGAAAACACTGTCCAAATTTTGTTGTTTTTATATCCCTTCATTCCCTGGGTTATGCCGATTCTGACAATATTTCATTTGTCATTTTCCATTAATGTGCCGCCCATAGCTTTGCTAATCTGGTTATTGTGCTAAGGAACTTTTTTTTGTGAGCTCATTCTCACACTGAAACCTCTCCTCAGCATCCTGC